ACTTACAGCGCGCCTGTGTTATATCCAGGAGCCAAACCGGGCCCAACACTTAAAAAACTGCGAAGAGCCCGTTCAGCTTAAGTGCGCTTATCAGATTAATTTTAGGGGCCTGAATCAATAGAATAGGTGTTTTTGTTTCGGGAGTTCCTTTTTATGATTATAGTATAATATATACCCCCCAAACCCTATTCTAAAAATTAGGCCCCTACATTACCACAAGAAGCCGGCTGGAGTTTGAGGGATATTTGGCTCATTGGGTAAGGCCCGACCGAAGAAGTATCCTTCCGTGATAAAGTACATATTCAGGGTTTAGGGTTATTCCCTAAACCCCAAACCCCAAACCCTAAACCCGAAACCCTAAACCGCTATTAATGGGAGCGAACTCAGCATGAAGGGCAAGAGGGTCGTATCAAGGATGACCACAGGGTTCGACATACCGGGGTTACCTTGTAGGACCCTTAGTATAAAAATTTGTTAAACCAAAAAAAGGAACTACAATGGAGACTATAGATAACCTTGGGGACCGAATGACCCTTATAAGTAGGGGCCCTATACCCTTATACTATGAATCCCTATAACCATGGGGACTCTCGAGATCCGGAACTGCGAAGGCCGAGAACGCCTTGGACGACTTCGCTGTTGGAACCATGGTATTGCCGCCTCAGTTTTACTTTCGAAGTCCGAAGCCACACGATTCCCTAAAGCCTGAACCCTGAAACCTAAACCCTAAACACTAAATCCCTAAACCCTAAGTCATATATCCCTAAACCCTAAACCCTAATCCCTCTTCCCTAAACTTAAACCCCTAAACCCTCTTCCCTAAACCCTAAATCCCTAAGGCCCTAAATCCTGAACCCGAAATCCTAAGCCGAAGGCCTTCAGGGATTTGGGTTCAGGCCTACATCGGCTCCAAGCGCCATGGCTTGGAAGATTAAGGTTTAGGGTTTAGGGTTTAGGGTTTAGGGTTTAGGGTTTAGGGTTTAGGGTTAAAGGCGGTTTTGGGTTCTTTGAAGTGTTTAAAGGTTCAGGATGTTGGGTTGTGGGGTTTAAGGGTTTTGGGTTTTGGGGTTTAGGGGCTTTGGGTTTTTGGATTTAAGGTTTTCGGGTTTTGAGCTTGGGGGTTGAAAGCTGTACCTGCAGATCGTGATTTTCGATTGTCTGAGCTCTAGTTCAAAAGCTTGGTGTTAAGGATCAGCGCACTTAGCAAGTAGTTCATAAATACAGCGAGTTGTGAAGTATACAGTAGAGCCAATTAGGGGACCTTTTTCCCCCACTTACTACCTGCTTCACCTGCTCAGTCCCCTCATCCTTCAAGAAACCCCTAAACCTCAAACCCTTTCTGGAACCCTGTGGGAACTAAAGCCTTACAAAACTTTCTAAACACAAACGAAAACCGGATTACGTCTTATATAGCCTGCTCCTAGATCCTTGAAACCTTGAAAAAGCCTTATAAAACCCGCCGAACTTTGCAAAGACCTTGGAGAAAACAAGCCTATAACAGCCTTATCAATCCAACTTCGTGAAGCCCCTGCCAGGCCCCCTGAAACGGGTTTCGGGTTTGAAGGGGTCCTGTCAGGGATCCTCTTCGGAACCCCTGCGGGCGAGTCGCCTGTCTTTGCCAGGTGTCCCTGGAAGCAAAGCAGCAGGTCCCCGAAGTGTGGCTTCGGATCCTGCTTTCAGGGGCTTCTGCAATATAGGGGCCTCAATAGTTACTTACATCATGTTGGGGGTTCCGTGTTATAATTATCGTATAATGGGCCCCAAAACCCTATTCTAATCATTAAGGCCCCTACAATACCCTGAACCCAAAACCCCTAAACCTGTAGGGTGTAGGGCTCAGGACTTTGGGATTAGCGGTTAGGCCGGGTTTGGGAGAGATTGAGGCCTGGTGTTAGCATGTTGGGCTTTAGGGGAGTCCTATCTAGGTTCCAACACGGTTCTTCAGGGGTTCTGTAAGGGTTCAGGGTTTAGGATTCTTGGAGGGCTTTTGCAAGCCACAGCCCCAGAGAGAGGTTTAGGGTTTAGGGTTTAGGGTTTAGGGTTTAGGGTTTAGGGTTTAGCAGAGAGAAGCAGAGAGAAGCAGAGAGAAAGAGAGAGAGCGAGAGACCGCCCAAAACTCTGAGCCGATACCCTACTATACAAGTGGCAGAAAGCCCTAGTGGCCATAGCCAGAGTGTGTGGCAAGAGACGTGGACGTACAGAGCACGCTTGCAGCTAGAAACAAATCCATGAGGATCTCTCCACCTATCAATTGGAGGGGCCGTCCGTGGCCATGGGAGCGCTAAGGAGAACATCGTGGGCAACTCCGAAAGCTCCGGAGGGATGGCCGCTCGAGAGGGGCTCCCTTTGTTCCGGCAGGAGAGCAGGGGCAAATCCTTTTGGTCCTCCCTGTTTTCCTCCCTGGGGGTCTCTCTCATGGTGGGCTTTGAGGTCGGCAGTGGCCAGGCCGCTCTGGCCACGATGGAGGCTGGCCTGTCCTACACTGGCCTCTCCAAGGATCAAAACCCTAAACCCTAAACCCTAAACCCTAAACCCTAAACCCTAAGCCACCGTGCTTGGGTTTCGAACAACCTGGACAAGCAGGCCCTCAGGTTGATCACGACAGGCCACTCCATGCATTCGGAGACCCTGTCTACGGCCCTCGTGCAGAAAGCCCTATAAACCCTTATCCATGAACCCTAAACCCACCTAATATAGGGGCCTTAATATCTAGAATAGGGTTTGGGGTATGCTATACTCTGATTATAATAAAGAACCCCCCAAAAAATATTCTATTTATATTACGGCATATTACGGCCCCTACATGATTTCAAGTTTGGCAAGCTCACCCGGGGGATAGCGGAAGTGCTCAAGCAGAGAGATTGGAATACAGCGCAACATCTTTCATCCACCTAAACCCTATAATTAGCACCTAAACCCTAAACCTATTTCCTAAACCCTAGAACGAGCACCTAAGCCCTACAGCCTATTCCCTAAGCCCGAAGCCCCACATGACGTAGCTCGGGCCGCAGACTCCGCCGGCAGCCTGCCTAACTCATCTCGCAAGTGTCTCCCTAGAGCCTTCGGGAAGGAGGGCTTTTAAGTTTAGGGGGGGGGGTAACTCGAGGCGCGGATTTCAAAGTTTAGGCTTTACCTCTAGTCTCCATTGTAGTTCCTTTTTGGTGGGTTACCTGATAGGATCCTTGATATACAATCCTTGGGGACCAAATGTTCATTTCGTCCTGAAGGTAGTCAGCATTTCGCCTGTGACCTGTAGACGGCTCCGCTTCGCGATTTCGGACTTCAGGGTCTACGTATCGCAAGCTTCTATCTTAGTTCCCCAACACCGAACCTTTCAACTTTTATTGGGTTCTTAAAATTTAGTAGCAATCAGAAAGTTTTACCTTTGAGTTAGTTTGATTCCCCTATTACAGAGCCCTTAAGAAGGTGTGTTATCTGGGGTTAAGGTAGGGCCTTGGGAACGGCTTAGCGCTTATCAAAGGGGTTGAGGGTTTCGGATGTAGGGATATCAGTTGAGTAGGTAACCTTTAACCTAGCTTTTTGGTTACTATAGTCACTGTAAGCCTCAAGGGTTAACCTTTTAATTCCCCTAGGATACTGGACAAGTGGGTTATACCGCGCCATACAGGTCTGATGAAGACCCCATAAACCCTAAACTTAGATTCGTGGACACTCCACCCTACACCTTAAGGACGACATGAACTCCAAAAGGTTCTCAGGTTCATATACCATATAGGGATTCATAGTATAAGGGTATAGGGCCCCTACTTATAAGGGTCATTTGGTCCCCAAGGCAAGCCTCAACCCTACAGGGGCCTTTCTTTACGACCATGGCCGCTCCTTTTCTCGCGTTTAGGGCTTCTGGTGCGATGCCAGGTGCGCGTCTTCTTCGGCTTCGTGTGCACGTTCTACCTTTGGGACGACGCGCCCTTCGTGTTACGACTGGCGAGATGCTTTTTATATAATTCCCTAAGGGTCCAAGTACCCATTATTTATGGACTTTGGGCCTTTTTGGGGATCTAAAACCATAAATATGGGCCAAGGTCCTTAACCAGGCCCGGGCCCTCCGGCCCGTAGGCCCGCACGGGGCCCGTAGGAGCCCGTAGAGCCCGTACGGCCCGTACGCAAGCCCGTAAAGGCCCGTAAAGGCCCGTATGGCCCGCAACGCCCACAGGGCCCGTAGAGACATATGTATGTGTGTGATCCATATATGCATTGTTGTCATTAAGACGAAGGCTCGAGAAAGGAGCTAACGCAGTACCTTTTAGGGTTTAGGGTTTAGGGTAACCCTACATGTTATGTATAGGTGCTCTAAGTCTAGGACACGTTTCAGGTGGGTAGTTACCGTTATAGGAGCCTTATAGAAGGTCTCTGGGGTTTAGGGTTTAGGGTTTTAGGGATGTAAATGTTGCACAGTCAGGCTAATGCCATGGAGTTTTACCAACACTGTCTCTTCCGCCTGTCGAGCGTCAGAGCTGTGACGGAAGTAAGCTGAGCAATGCATGCAGACTTCCATTGTATAAACTCATCGACAAAGCTAGAGCGCTGAAGTTGAAGACCCACATGCAGCTATGGAGCGAATCTTGTTCTTGTTCGGCAGACCTATCTCGCCGCATGCTGCGCTGGCATCTTCCATCTTGCTGCCAAACGACTTTGAGAGGGTGTCGTGGGTACCTTTGTTGCCCAACATGCTCGAGTCGCTGGGCCTGACGCGAGACGCTCTAGCGCTGGAGTCCGCGAGGCGAGTCTTCGAGCCCACAGAATCAAAGGATGGTTGTCCATGCTTCCGGATTGTCCTTGCCGACGGCTGCTCCACAGAACTACGCTTCAACACAATCGTAGCTGGGCTAACTGTATGGGCCGGGATGTGGGTAAGCTGTCGTGGCCTCCATAAGTTCCGAGCATCCCAGGCGACGGACGATGGCGCGCAGGCTCGTGTACACCGCAGGGCGGAATTCGCGGTAGCCAACCGCAACATTCCGGTGCCAGACGTAGAGGCGATGGCTCGCAGGGTGCTGAAATATTTTTCGACGCCGCACACTGTCATCGAGATGACAGCAGACGCCAAGGAGCTCTTTATGGCATACTGCGCTTGTTTCAGCACGGAACAGTACGTCGCACTGTTTTGACAGCAACCGTTTGATTTTGTTTGGTGTCTGGTATTGCACATGGACATTTGTCCAGTTGCTTCGGAAACCCATCCAGCTAGGTTCTCCGAGAAAACGACGACGATGGTGCGGCAAGAAAAGGGACGGCGGCATGGCACTTGGGCATGGTGTCGGCGGCTCAGCTGACCTGGGAGATCGCTACGGAGCAGGCGGGATGTGGGGAGTCCGGAACCCGAAGCCCGGCTTGCATAGGGGTTGTCTGGGTGGTTCACCGGCGAGGCAGATCCAAGATCGGTGCAGGAGCGCACGCTCATGATCCAGAAGAGACATGTGCTCAGAGCCTATGATTGTGTCAAGCTTTGTCACAGCGTGCTGACGCTCTGCGTCAAAGGCGCGCTCACACCGACGACCGAAGTGGGTGCACTCACTCAAGTGACCAGTGCCGCCGAGCAGCTTCAGTCAGCTCTGGAAGCGCAGCTGATTCCGGAGAGTCAGTTCGTTCCCTTCGAAGCTCCAGAAGAGCCTGTCGCAGAGGATGGTGAGGCCGGCCACATCTTCACTCAAGGCGACACGCCGCCGCTCAGCGATGGTTATGGACCCGAGGGCAAATCGGTGCAGGATCCATCCCAGGGGCCTATCATACTTGGTGATCGGGCGTCTCGGCAATGAGGGGCTCGAAATTGGCAGTGCGGTGCTCATTGAATCGAGCCGAAGCCCGAGTGA